TTGACCCATGCGAGTATGTGTGGCATAGTTCGGAGGTACGCTCAGTGTACACGAAGCTGTACAGAAGACCACTATCGGGGTGGCTGACCGAGTACACAAGGCGTAACCCCGTAACCTTACTTTCTTCATTAAGTGCTTAATGGCTTCGACACTTAAGCTCATACTTCAGATCCAAGGTCCAAATTCATACTAGGGTCATAAAGCTTCCAACTTTTTGACTTTACACGTCCATAAAGTCCTTAACACAAGGTCTTAATCCATTAAGACCTTCTACAAGATGTATGGAGCTAAACTAGCTAAAGGTACCTCATTTTTATGGCTTAGGATCCTTCATAGGGTCTATAAGGACAACTCAAAACGTCTATAACCAAACATGCATACAAATGGGACTTTTGAGACAAGAAGAACAACATAAGGTTAGCAAAATGATATCCAATCAATGAAAGCATCAATGTGAAGACTTTTTACCTTTTGGAGCTCCTCAAGAAAGTAATGATCCAAGGTCCACAAGCTTGCTTCCAAATCTATGCTCCTTGATGCAACTCCTTCTTCCTTCAGCACACTAAAACACACTTTTTAGCTTAAACAAACACTTAAGGGATAAGGGTTTTTGCAATGGACGATACTAAGGCTTTGGAGGCTGAAAATGTGGGGATAAATGAGCCATAAGGATGTTTAAATACCCATCAAACCATAAAACTTAGGGTTTCCCCTCCAGACATGAGTACGCCTAGCATACATATGTGTACGCCCTAGTACGCTCAGCGTACCTACATGTACGTTTAGCGTAATCCTCCTACCCTTGAAATTACAATCTTGCCACTAGGGCTTCACATGGATACTTCCTTCTATCACAAGGACCAAAATGACATTAATTAAAACTATAAGGATGAATTTAAAAATACTTGAAAACCGGGGTGTTACAAGGGATGCATTAGGGACTGTATATAGTCATGTAAGGTAGATTGAGGACTCTTGATCTAGGCCTTTTTATCTATTCCTTGTTTAATTGTTGTTCTATAGTAAGATCACATGTTTAGGTGTCTATCTTACCTTTGATTATATACGGTCATGCATTCCTTGGATTGTTGATATTTAGTATGTTGTTATGCTATAGTGATATGTTATATTTGTATTCTGGTATCGAGTATGTTTCTATGATGTAGTGATCTGTTAGATCTGTATTCTGGTATTGAGTATGTTGCTTTGCTGTAATAATCTGTAGAACTATATATTATATGTGCTTGTTGGTTATCATCTATGGAGTACCCTTAGGGGCTGTTTGTGGTCATGTAGGATAGCCTAAGAACTCTTGGTCTAGGCTTTCTTGCATGTTCCTTGTTAGTTTGTGGCTCTAAAGTAGGTCATCTATTTGGGTGGCTATCTCACCTCCGGTTACTTATGGTTACGCATTCTATGGAGGTTAGCTGTTAGTAGGACTATATGCTGTGAGAGGACAAGTAGGTGGTAATGAGTTGTATGATTGTTGTTTGCATGTATTATGTTCCTACTTGATCCTACTTGTTTATATGTTGACATGTTGTGTTTGGTTCGGGTTGAGGCGGTCCTGCTTTGTGTTATAGGCCAGGAGTGTGGGCCGATTGTAAGTTATATGCATGGAGGCTCGGGAAGAGTGGTAGGGTTGAGGAGGTAGGCCAACAAACACTGGGTATTCCAGCTTCATGGCTGATTAGACCCGTTGTATATTGGCATTTCAACCTCAGGTATTATATCCCAAGGATGGAGGTTGACTGGGCCTAGGGTATTCCAATCCGATGGTTGATTGGACTCGACATGTTTGATTTTATATGTTATTCGTTTGTGTGGTGGTATTTTGGGGGAAACTCACTAAGCTTTATGCTTATCCAATTGTTTATTGTCTCAGGTATCATCCATGTACATAGGAAGGCGAAGGCGGGACTGTACACACTCATCAACAACATTGAAGATTTTGCATTCATTATAATACTCTGATTTTAATAAATTATAATTGAGAATAAATGGTTTTCTTAAAAATGGTTTTATAATTGATAAATTTTACTTAAATAAAAATGACAATTTTGACCATGAAAATGGGATGTTACATACATGTTATGATGTTGTGACACTTTTTGTGACATCACATTCTAGGTGTTAAAATTAAAACAATAAATAAAATAAAATAAAATGTAGTGTTCATGTAACCTAAATGATATAAGTTTCATGATATTATTGCTGCTACTAAAAGAAAATGAAAGAATATACATATCTCTAGTGGTATCACACCCAATATCAACAAAAGAGCAAATTCAAAAGAAAATTATGAAAGAGGAGCAAGATAAAAAATTTTACAAAATTTAGAAGGGTTAAGAATTTCGATCCTCCTTAAGGGAAAAGGTGAGAACGAAATTTACAAGGGAAGAATGAGAATTTAGGGTTTGGTCCTAACACCCTATTTATATAATTTAGTTGCTTAGTCCCAAAACAACTTTAAAACCATATCCTTAAGGTTTGCAATGTTCCAAATAATTAAATTTTAATTAATTAATATTCAACCCTTTTAATTAATTGATTACCAATTAATTGCAATGCTTTCTAATTAATTTATCAATACCATGAAAAATTATAAACTAATTTCTCCTAAATTCTTTTGCCTTTTAATTTCTCAATTGAGTCTTAAGGACAACAAAAAACCTTATTATTATAAATATTACCAACAGTTATGACATTGGACATTCTTCCAAAAGTAATTCCATGAGTCCACCTAACAAAATGTATGAGAGCTTCAACATGGAGAGGATTTCAATGCATCAAAGGTTATCTTATTGTTGATTCTTAATTGCAATCTAAGGATCAATCTAAGTGGATCATTGATATCTTAGTTTTGTAGCCAAGATGCGACACCATTGTGTATAGTTGGTTAAGTAGCCACGTGATTTTAAGAAATTAAAATATCAAGATTTGTTTTTTAGTAAGGTCATGACCATGCATTCGGGTTTATGTAGTTAATACCGAAGAGTTGGTTGTTTGGTAAGGTCATGGCCATGCATTTAGGTTTCAGTATTTGCATGAAGTTGTAGTTTTGTGGAATTAATACAACATTCTTGATTACAATGAATATAAGTAATTGCCACTCAAATGATATTTGAGAAGTTCATAATAACAATTATAGTCCGTGACATATCAACATTAGGGAATTGTTAAAAAAAGGGATTTGTCTTCCATGCCCAATTTGCAAAACCCACAAACATGGATGAAGCACAGTTATCAAACCAAGTTGAGAAAATCTACTCTACGATTATATAGATACTTGCAAACAAGGTATTATTTAACTTTTCGATGAGGAGGATGCTTTAGCCTTGTGTAAAAAAGTCAAGGGACTTTATGGGAAAGAATTAATTTTTGTTTTTTTTTTTAAGTAATTGACAATGCTTTGAGTTTTTCTTCCATAAAAGTCATTAAGTTTTCACAAAAATTATATATTGACACTATAAATATTTTTTTCAATCAAGTCAATATATTTTAGTTTTGTTTCAGTTTTGACACCTAAAATGTGATGTCACCAAAAAATGTCATGTCATCACGTTAAGTCATCGCCACATAACCAAGACTGACACATTAACATGCTATCATAGACTCAAAGGATAAATTTGGATGGATGAATTCCCTAGTGGAATTATTAGTTGGTTAATGAGAATTATAAACCATAAGTTGTGGGATGATTTAAAGTGAGTAATCTGGCTTACGGTTTACGTGCATAAACCATTTAGTAGTTATACTATGGGACCGATTAATCTGGTAAAATATGGTTATCGGGTTCGGTTAGTGGGCCAATAATGGATCATTATGGTAATTATAATTATAAAAGTGAGTTTTACAAGTTCTAAGAAACTTGGCTTATTATCCAAACAGGTTTGGACAAGTGAGTGGGTTAAGAAGCATCGTGGAATCAATGATCAAGATCAGAGCGTAAGTTAGTCTTCACAAAGTATAGGTGTACATTTGGGTACGCAACAAAGTAATGTGAAAATGTGTGAATAACTCACTAGGTGTAATTGTGAATGATTATATAATAATGTTTTAATGTTAAAATATTTTTAAAATATAAAAGCCTTAGTTTCCATGATATAACAAAAAAAAAAAGATATTCTAGAAAGAATAATCATGTCAATTGTTTAAATGATTTTAGTAAGGGCATTGTTAATTGTTAGTGAATTTGATAACTAGTATAATGTATGATTGTATAATGAGAGCTTTGGTTAAGCTCTGCAACCATGTATTTGATTATTGGATGGGTTTGGGCAAATAGCCTATATCTGCACAAATGTTATAAACTTAAAGGAAAGTTGCTTGGTACAAAGGTTGTCTGTGTATTTATGTTAAGAGTTTTATTGAAAGCCATTTGTAATAAATGGTTTAAAATGCTTATTTGTGTTAAAAGCTACAAGTGTGTTTGTGTGGATCAAAATCTTAAAGGCCTAGAATGCCTTTTATGTGACTGAGAATTTATAGTATTCCAAATGCAGTAAAAAGAAATTAGAGTAGGTTTGTGATTCTTTTCTCTTGTGCTATAAATTTTGATATTGTTTTGTAGCATCAAATGCTGTAAATTCTGATAATAATTTGAAATTTTTTGTTAAAAGACTTTTTATTAACAATTAATGGTGTTTTAAACGTTTGGTGTTACATTGCCTAAGTTTTGGAAAACTTATTATTCTTTCTTAGAATTTCTTTTTTCTTTATAATATAAATCATACTACAAAAATTCACTTAATTCCTACACACAAACAAAATATGATAAAAAAATGTAACGAATAGTTTTTAACCTTGTTTATTCCACTATCCCAACTATTCCATTTTTTTGTCAATTCATTACATCCTACCAAAATATAGTCTTTGTAATCATTTTTTGTAGTCTAATTCTCTTCAACTCTTAACGAGAAATCAATATGATTAGATTTTTTCAAATAACTTAACTGCATTTGTGCTTATTAAAATGCTTAATGAATTCACGAAATTTATTAGAATTTGTAAACCATTTCTTCTGTGTATCCAAGTTCTTTGAGTAATCCAGTTAGCTGCAAGAACACGATAAGCATATCAAGGGTATCATCTATTATAACATTCTATGTTATGATCACACATCGGCTGAAAATACTATAAGTTGGTGGCTTATAACTCAAAGTGTCTCCTCCTCCCACAAGTTAACTTTTAGAAGTGACTTCTACACTTGAGTTTATGGCATAATACGTTCCTAGCATCGGATGGGTTCGTATCAATATCATAATGGGGTCGTATCAATATCATAAGCCTAAGTGTAGAACTTACTCCTAAAAGCCAACTCGTGGAAGGAGGGGACACTTAGATTTATAAGTCACCAACTTATAGTACTTCCAGCCGATGTGTGATCATAGCATTCTACTTCCATTTTTTTTTTTTCTAATTACATGTTTAAATCCATACCTCGCCTTGCGACCGATCTTTTGCCTTGTCACCCGATATATGTTGCATCATTCCCGGTGGACCACACACCTAAAGAAAGCAACAAAAAGGAATTTGAGTATTTTATTATTTCCTATTACAACATTGTCTTTGAAATAAATCTACCAAAACAACAATGTTCAATGTTCTAGTTTAGTAAATTTTCCAAAATAAAATGTTTTAATATGAAAAAAAAAATGAAATTACAAGGCTATAATCGGGTAGATTGTTACTATGTTGTTATATTAAGAAAAAAAATCAAATGCATAATGCTAATATCAGGTAAGTTTTTTAAACTAAAATGATTTAATAAGAAAAAATAAAATAAAATAAAAACTAGAAATGAGCTTACAAGTATAAGGGTATCATCACTCGGGGTAGGCAAGCCTTTCAAGGCCATATCCTTTGATATAAAACCTGTACCTCCGACCCAATACTTTGATGGATTATCAACCGTATAAAACACCTGTAATTTAATAAAAAATATTAAAAAAAAAAAAAAAGATGCTTCAGAACTTGACGTGACATGCCATAAGAACTTTATACTGTGTTTGTTTGGTATGCATTGAACTGAAACTCAACTGATGTAAATGAGACAAAATGTTGAAAGCGTTTGTCCCATCAAAAAAAGGTGGGACATCGTATGTGAAAAAACAAGAATGCCCTCATGCATACAAACATTATTTTGTAATATAGAAAAGATGCACCTTTAAGTTGGGGTGGGTAGCTGCAAGCATGTCGAGTCTCTTTTTAAGAAGAATATCATCCGGGGATACATTTGCATAAACCAAAGATACCTTAAAAAAAATCCCAAGTGTATAAATTCAAAATGGAATTCACAAATTATTATAAAAGAAAATAAGAAAATGGAAATGCTTACTTTGGTATTGTCATTAGGATTCTTAAGAATAGCCTCAATCACTTGAAGCATTGGAGTGATTCCTGATCCACCTGCAATCTAGATGAACAAATTATTTTACACTATCTCCCCAAAACACATAGTATGTGTGTGTATGTGTTTTCACTTACCATGCCAATGTGTTTCTTCATATTGGGAGTGTATCTAACTTTCTCAACAGGGCTGGATGTGATTCATTTTTGTCAGTTTTAAGTAGATTAAATGATTTAATAATGGATATAAATATACAATAATTCAAAATCGAGTATATGGCTTACCCTTTCACTTCAACTATATCCCCTGGCTTTAATTTTGCGAAATATTGGCTCATTTTTCCTTCAGGATAAACCTAGATAAGATTGTGACATAAATAATCAAACAAGTTTATAATATTTAACATGAAGAATGAAGAACAATAGTAAGCATACCTTGATCATCAAATCGAAGTAACCTTTAGAATCTGGATCCGATATAGGTGTATACCTGAAAATAGTTCTTATATAATTTCTACAAAAAAATATATATATATTATAATCCATATTGGAATTTTAATAGGAAACTTACGGGCGAATAACATATTTTCTTTTCCCATCGGCATCTTCTCCCAATGGAGCCCTAAATCCCAGGATAATGACACATTGTTAAAGTTTCAAGCATATGCGAATTAGAATCCTGTTGTGAAGTTTGATTAATAGCTGAATAGATGTTTGTGAACTTGCCTTGTAATGAGGCATGATGCAACATCGAGTCCCAATTTCAGATTAGGATCAAAAGAGAATCTGGAGTGATTTAATCCATGAAAGAGAAGAAGAGATGAATCAGGATTCAGTGAAAAATGAAATGGGAATTTCTGGGTGTATGAAGAATTAAGATAACCTGTATATATGGGTATTGTGGCTGACTGTGGCCTTATCTTGTAGCTTAAACGGTTGCCATTTTTTAGGATCAAGAGCTGAGAATACACAAATACATCATGAAATTCAATGTAAAAGATATAGTATGATGAGATGAGAGAAATAAAACAAGAAATTTACCAGATTTTGGACCTGGTTCCTTGTTGATTTTGATTGGATCTAAATGGACCTATCAAACGAGTAAGCTTTTCAGAATCTTAGATTGGAATCGTTTTTAAGATTTAAAGTTAGTTTGATTTAATTTGACGTCGGAAGTCAAATTGTGATGATCATCACTAAATGCACTAATTATTTGAATAGCCTTATTTAATCAGTCAAACCACGATATAAACACGTAATAAGATCGCATTTCGTATATTTCTGATTCGAAAAGTAGGAGAGAATGCAAGATAAATTACCAAATTTGGTTCAGAAAAGTAATAAAAGTACGATATTCCACCGGATATGGCAGCGATTGCTCCAAATGGATTTGGGAAATTGTTTGAATTTGATTGCGATTTGCCTTGAAATGCATTGGAAAATGTGATTGGTACAGTTTTTCCTAGTCGCTTGAAGAACACCGACATCTTTAAAATGGCGATCGAGAGACAGGAAGTGGGATTTTCAGGGTTTTATTGTTTTAGTGAAGCTCCTTCTCAGAGTTTCACTTTCATGGCTGAAGAAGCATGCAACAGCAATTTCTGTTGGTAGTGTGGTCCACCGTAAGTTTCGTGGATCTTACACGTGTCATTGCCTAGTTTTTAATTTCTTAGAGTAAATTACAATTTTCATCCCTATAGTTGACAAGAATCTGCAGGTTTAGTCCTATTTTTTGAAAAGTGGCACCAGTGGTCCTCATGATTGGTAAATCCATCAAAAATGGTCCTTTCCAGTGCTACTGACTACTATTCGTTAAACAGAGAGACGGCATGCCCGTCATAGTAGGGATATCAATGGGGCTAAACAGGATATGGGTTGCATCCTCCGCCCCACCATCCTGAAATCTCCTCATTTCCATGCCCCCATCCTAAGAGCATTGCATTACCCTCACCTTGGTTCTCTCATCTCTGATTGATTTTGGCTGTATTTTTTTTTTTTGCTAAAAGAAGCTTTTTTAATAAAAGATAGTTATTTTTAGTAGTATTTTACATGTTAAAAACAAAATTGTTATGACATCTCAAAACATTAAAATAGCAACTTAATAACATGATTTTTTTGTTGAATTTTAGCAGCTAAAATTCAAGCAATTATATATATATATATATATATATATATATATATATATATATATATATATATATATATATATATATATATATATATATATATATTGCTAAGTTATTGCGCGAACCAAAAAAATTATAAGAACTTGCGAACTCATAATCCAATCCACTTATCATTTTTCATAACCAAAAACATTAATCTTCTCTAAATGGTGTCTAAGCCATATTTAGGCTCAAAAAAAATTTGAATTTTTTTTTTTTTTTTCATTTTGGAAATTTGTATGTATGCACAATCAACAATTATATGGATTGTCAATGAGTACAATCAACAGTCATATGGATTGCTAATTATGCATAGATCCACATTTCCAAAAAAAAAAAATAATAATATCATCAAATCTTTTTTTGAGTTTAGATATGGCTTAAACACACCATTTGAAAAAAAAAATTATGTTTTTTGTTTTGAAAAATGATATGTTGATTATGTGTTCCTAAGTTCTCACAAATCTTTTGATTCTCAAAAGAATCTCTCTCTCTCTATCTCTCTCTCTCTCTCTCTCTCTCTCTCTATATATATATATATATATATATATATATATATATATATATATATATATATATATATATGTTATTAATAATAATAATAAAAGGGACCCCATGTGGGGCGAGGTTGGTTTCGGTACGGGACTGAACAACCTCGCCCCCACCCTCACAATTGAAAAGAGGTTAACCCTGCTCTTGTCGCTGCTTATTTTTTTAAACAAACACCCCAATATGAATCAAGGTCCCACGAGACTTTTTGTAGGGGTGGCAAATTGGGTCATTGTGTCATGTTTTTGTCTGACACGACAATGTTTTATGTAACATGAATACGACACGTCACAATGTCGTGTTTTTTTAACTAACACGAAAACGAACTAATTAAAAATCGAAAACATGACACGACATCATAAAGATAACATAATATAACAATTAGTTTATTTAATTAATATTTAAACATAGATAACATGACAAACACAAATGCTAAATCGTGTCAATTCCGTGTCGAATTTTGAACATGAACACGACACGACATTGTGTTTTTTACACTTGATACGAACACAGCACGAATATAAATTTGAATTTCAGTTTCGTCTCAATTTCTTTTTGTGTCGTGTCATCAATGGTCACCCCTTATTTTTTTTACATCCCTAATATTAGGAAATTTTGGTTTTTTCCTCCCTATTTTGGTCCCGCTATAACGTCTAAGTAAATTACAAATTCAATTCTTCATTTTCTTCAACACTCTTCCCTATTCCTTATTGTAAATAAAAAAATCAAAACATGATCTTACTGATTTATTATGTTCACAGGGCTTTTAGATTTAAGAAAAAAGTTCTTTTGGCTGTTAGATGGGGTGTTGGAATAAGATAGATGTATGCTTTTGGTTACAAGTATTAGAAAGATGTAATGGATGATAAATGGTTTGTTTCTCTACTAATGAAAGATATTTGGGTATGACATGTAAAAAAGTTGCATGGAATTATTTTGTTTATAAACTGTAAACTTTGCTAGAAATTGGATGTTTGAACTCTTCAATGTCCGCATTGTCAACGTAGGTCATCTTACCATACATCATGGTATTTTCTTCCTTGAGCTTTTGAAAAAAACACACCATGGTTGATCTGCATCATGAAGGAGTTTTCAAAATCCTCTACGAAACAACAAACAATTTGCAAGTATTTCTGACAGAAGGGGGAGGAAAGACCAAAATGCCCTTGCTTGAGAACCAAATGACCTCTCTTTAAGAGACTTAAGTAGACGGTAACAAGGGAAGGACCATAAGGTCTTTTTTTTTAAACGTAGAGTTTCACTAACAAATTTATAAAAAAAACTATTACCTCATTGCATGTAAGTTTGTATAAAGTGTTTGTATATCTTAGAATGTATTATAGAATAAAAACTTTTTTTTTTTTGCTAGGTCATGATTTTTTAAGTGATTTGATTCAACGGGTAGAAAAAATATTCAAAAAGGTTACATTGGAGATGTTCTAAGAAAATCTCTACACAATTCGTGTATAAAAACATTTTTTTTTTGTAGCATTAAATCTTAAACTTACCGAAATATTCAAAAAATAATTTTTTTTTTCAAAATTCTTAATAAAATACATGTTCGTGTACATTTTTCCTAAACAAGTTTTTTTTGTAAATAAACTTCGGGCGTGTTTGGCACGGAGCTTTTAGAAGCGTGTGGAAGCTTCTAGCTTTTAGCTTTTGACAAAACACTCTAGTTTAAACAAAAAGCTTCGTTTGACAGTACGAGCGTTTAGCTTTTAGTTTTAACAAAACGCTCCGATTCTAAAAGCTACTTCATGTAGCTTTTAACAAAACGCTCCGGAGCTTTTGAAATCAATTTCCATAATTACCCTTAAAAATATATTTATATATATTTTTTATTTTTAATAAATTGTCCTTTTATGTAATTTTATATATTTCAAAAGCTTCCAGCTACTTTTGCCAAACATTCATATAACAAATAAAAGCTACAGCTTTCCGCTACCAGCTACCAGCTACACGCTACCAGCTACCCGCTACCAACTAACCGCTAACCGCTACCCGCTTCCAGCTAACAGCTAACAGCTACTTTTACCAAACACGCCCTTCAACAATCAAATTACATGTCAATATCTTAAAAGAAATAACTAAATATTTAAATTAGTTAAAATACGCAATACTCTATTAAAAGAAAAAATCTTTACATAACCTAAACTATATCACAATCTTTACATAGGTTAAAAACAGAGTACACCTCATTAATCCATGATAAATGTTCCCCTTTCTTGTTTTCAAGACAAAAGATTCAAGATCAATAAACAATTCTATAATTTATCAAGAATCCAATTCTTACATAAATTTACAACAGAAATCAACATAAAGCAATGATCTTTTTTTTGAATCAAATCCCATTTCAGCATCATCACTTGGAAGGATTCAAAGATCAAACCTGGGAATAATCAAGAAAAAACCAAAAATGATTCTTTTTAAAACATCTTACAATCTTGAAAGAACACCTTTCTTTCCTGTTTCAATTCCATTTATGCTGACCTGTTCCTGGTGGGCCCACGAAGATATTAAATGATGGGCAATTGCAAAAGGTCCAGGAACAAACATGGATGCAAGTTCACCACTTTCTACATTGAAATCAGAAGCAACATTTTGACCTTTTACAACACCTTTGCACATTTGATCCACTTTATATGCTGATGTTTTTTGTGCCTTTTCATATTCAGTGAATGTTAATGCTTTCTTCACTTCTTCTCTACTATGCCATTTCGCATCTACATAGAAAATACCAATGTACTTTCATTTACTTGGAAGTAAAGGGTAGTTTTGTCTTTTGACATATCAAAAGTTACCTTCTAATTCGCTCTTGTCCACATTTATTTCAAGTGATGTGGCGTATGCAAAAAAACCAATCATTAATTGGCATGGCATGCTACTAGGTCCAACTGCAAACAAATAAAGATAAAAAGATTGAATATAAATCTTTTAATTACCAAAATACCTTATTAGATAAAAAGGTAAAATGAAAGAAATAGAGTAAACTACATGAATGGTCCCTATGGTTTAGGGTAATTTGCACGCTTGGTCCCTAACTTATTTTTTTAACTTGGAAAGTTCTTACTGTTTGTTTTTGTTACGCGTTTGGTCCATAATGTTTCTTTTTGGAGTAAATTACACGAATGGTCCCTATGGTTTGGGGTAATTTTCATGCTTGGTCCCTAACTTATTTTTTAAGCTCGGAAAGTACCTACTGTTTGTTTTTGTTACACGCTTGGTCCCTAATGTTTCTTTTTGGAGTAAATTACACGAATGGTCCCTATGGTTTGGGGTAATTTGCATGCTTGGTCCCTAACTTATTTTTTTAACTCGGAAAGTTCCTACTGTTTGTTTTTGTTACACGCTTGGTCCCTACTGTTTCTTTTTTGAGTAAATTACACGAATGGTCCCTATGGTTTGGGGTAATTTGGGCGCTTGGTCCCTAACTAATTTTTTTAACTTGGAAAGTCCCTACTGTTTGTTTTTGTTACGCACTTGGTCCATATTGTTTGGTTTTGTTACGTGCTTGGTCCCTATTGTTTGGTTTTGTTACATGTTTGGTCCCTGTCTTACCTAAAATGACTATTATTTAAATAGGAAAAAAATGGTGGGATAGGTAAGGTAAGGTAAGGTGAGGGGGGTGGGGTGGGGTTGGGGATATGTTTATTTAAATAAATTAAAAAATCAAGGGAAAAATAGTTTTTTTAGGAAAGATTGTCCACCATGCTTTCATTTTCTTTTCCTATTAAAACATTGTGCTTAGAAAAATCCAACCAATTATAGCACATAAAAAATACAATTTTAATTGCTATAATTTGATCGATTTTTTCAAAAATGTCATAATAAGAAAAA